CACACCTGCATTATGAACTTGTAGTTTATTAAGTCTCTTCGTTCCGACATAGTGTCACCTTCTTGCTAAGCGTTGGTCTTCTACTTCGACAAAACAAAGTGCCTACAAAATAGGCCAAAACCAATCAACCATGTTTGATAAGTTGGTGACTTGGTTGCGGCACCTACCCCCATACCCCTGCCCCGAGTCAGGCTACTTTGCTTGTATGGGAGAAAAATACCGAATGTTTTTATTACTGTTTCAAAACAATTCTCTGCTCTTGTATGTGTGCGCGCGACTAGATCTGGAGGCTTTAATAAACTATCATATGCACAACCAAAACGCGACTACAATACTAATAATAGTAGGTATGCGAGGATTGACTCGCCAGCGTTTTGAGAACCACAAAATTAATAAACGCATTGAAACCCGCTTAAATGCTCAGTCTAATAGCACGATCAAGCCAATCTTAACAGGCATAGTGCTGCCAGCCTCGGCAGTCTGGTAGTTGATCAGACCCTTGGGCACCACAACATTGTTGCAAGGGCAAATCAATCGAAATTAGTCCTCGTGTCCCTTCTTCTTTCCCATCTTGCGATACATCGCCTGATCGAACTCAACATAAGTCAACTTTCTGGCCCTTTAAATAAGAGCAATTTAATACTTGTAGTTATTGTGCAGGTGCCATTATAAAAGCAAATACTTGTCACTGTCATCAGCAGTCGTAAATCAATTCCAATTATTCTTGGTGATATCATTGGCAGATTTAGAGTAGAATCTAATGCCACACTGATGGTAAATTGGCTTTGTAGTTGAGACTGAGTTGTTGAGTGTCTCTTCACTGTACTTTAGAAAATTTGTATCCTGTGCAGAATTTGTACACAACATATCACCATTTTCTTCCATTTTATACTCCCACACGGCACATAAAAGCATTATGATGGGATTGCTATATTTTGAAAGTTGACGTATATGAAAAAACAAGTGATAAGGCTAAATCATGTTACGAGGCTGCTATTCTGAGTCATTGGTATGCGAATCGAGCAATGTGAGTCCGAACCCTTTCATTAACCTCGTACAAAGGTTATAGGCTCCAACGAAACCCATTTGAGGGGTAACCGGATTGCTGAAGAAATCTTACCATCCGCTAGCTATGGATAGGAAGGTGGGCGTTCCTGTCACATCCACAAATAAAATACGATTCGTAAAAAATTAAACAAATAAAGAAGAACCGAACTATAAACTGTGATAGGCACAAAAAGCATCAATGAAAGCGAATAAGCATTCCTTAAAATACTGACAATCTTGCTTTGATCTATGAATTAGATACAAACTCAATTACCTCACCAAGTAAATACGCGTATCAAATACGTAAAGGTTTTTTAGGGTGGAGAAATACCCTTTGATGCATGACAGATAAATTAGTCGCAGATACCACTAGCGTAAATCAGAGCACTGCCTATGTTTGGAGGCATCGAAGTTTCTCTACCAAACCAAAAAAAAAGTTTTAAGAGTCATATATTTGGCACAAATTGGACAATAAACCAACAGTTCATAAATTTGCTTGCACTGTTTCAGCACCGGGAAGCTATTCAACTGCGCAATTCTCATCATCAATTCTTCATCATTCCACACAATTCGCGGTGCCAAGTGATCGCAGACCAAAGGTGAAGTGTTCGATGTTGCAAAAGTATTTTCTCCCACCACTCCAAACACCACGGGACCTGTATCAAGGGGAACGCTAAGTTCGGACGCCTCACTCACTGCTCAGGCGCACTGTCGTCTCCACCACGACTCTGTTTGGTCACTTGATGCACAGCTGTCAGTGTGACTGTGGCCCCCTCCACACTTGCACACAAGCAAAGCATGCTAGGCCAAAGAGAGTTGGGGTTTGGGCTGGAGAGCCTGGGTGGTGATGCCAATGACCAGGCGTCTCAAAGTAATAGATACTTACAGGCATCCACAGAAGTCGTTTCAACACGATAATTATACGGTGGTAGGTGGCAGTTGTAATTAACTCAGGTGCGAGCGTCACTGTCGTGTCCATTTCCAACACCTTTGAGGCTACCTTCGTACGCTCACCAACAGGCTATAATTTGCACCTCTCCAACACCTACCATTGACGCTATATGACTCTCCTTCCACTTCCTATGCTTCCCGTGGTTGCAATCGCGAATCCTCCTCACTCCAACCTCCCCTCATTCGCCTTCCTGCTCCCTCATCGACACACTCACTTGCCTGTGCCCTCTTCACCCACCTGCAGGTGGGTGGGCAGGAGACAGGAGCATTGCCTAGGTGAGGAAACTTCAGCAGGAAGAGTGATTGGTGTTGGTGCGAGTGTGTGGAAGGGTGATATGAGGGATGGATTGGATGCCTTGACCACACACTTATTTGCGTAGCCATGCAGCGTGTTCACACAAAAGCCTGATTTGCTTTGAAAGACTTTGAGTTTTCACTGATCTCCCACACGCACACAAACCCATGAAAAGGCTTCACGCAGAATAGAGGGAGGAGATAAGAACGAAGCTGCTATTGTTAAAATTAGAGGCAGGAAACAATGCGAGGGGGCGTGGGGTTGAACTCGAGCTTGTTGAGATTAGAGAGGGAGAAGGAGGTGGAGGTGAATGAGGACGAGGAGGAGGAGGAGGAGGAGGAGAGAGGGGGAGGGAAGGAGAAAGGGAAAGCTGGAGGGAGGGAGGGAGGGAGGGAGATAGGAAGAGAGATGCGTGTTCTTGTTCTCATCTCCTGTCTCACGCCTCGCCAATATCTACTGCTGCTGCTCCTCCTCCTCCTCCTCCTGCCACTGCCATTGCCGCTGCCGCTGCCGCTGTCGCTGTCGCTGCCTTTGCGGCTACTGAAACAACGCAATTAATTATCGTGCGTGTCTGCTTGGCAAACGATGAAAGAGGGTCGCACTCCTACCGTTTCCAATTCAATCGCCACAGTAAGGCCATCAAGGTGTTGTTGAAAGTGCAGCTCAATGACAGACAGGTTGTTTTTCCACTCTACCCATTCAGGCATAGCTCTTGTCATTGCGCATGCAAGCACTCGATGCTTCTGAACCAACTCACGACTGACAAAGTTTCCGCGATGCTCCACACAACTTATTGCGCCGACTCACTGTAAGTGGTGGGCAACTGCCAAGCCAAATACACGCCTTCCTTTTAACTCATCACACCGCACATATGCGCATCCCTTGTGAGTAGAGTGCAGCACAGCACATTTCAGCTCATCCTGATAGTGAGGTGGGGAAAGTTGGCTGAGGAGAGGAGTATGGCTCGGGGCCGCAGCTGCAGCAACAGTCCCGCCTCCAGCCTGGAGAGTCAAACAGGCCAAGCACTTGGGGAGGCGAAACTGTTGCCTCCTGATGCGAGGGCATTCAATGCGAGGGAAGCATAGCCTCTCGCATACTGGAGAAGTTTGTGTGGCTGCTGTGTGAAATAGTGAGAGAGTAGAGCAGTTTGTGGAAGAAGACGTTCGATCTCCTGTCACCGCATTGAGCCTGAATTCCTTTGCCAAATCCACATGAAGTGTGAGGAGGATGATGTGGAGGTTTAAAAATGGAACCTAGACCACATGTTTCGGTAGTGAACTGTGTAACCTTAATCAACATTTATTTTATTTCCAACCTTCTACATTGCTGTATGGTCACCATTCATTGCTCTAATGTAGTCGGAATCAATCCTCAATGAAATGCATTTATCTAGTAGACTAAAAACCTCAAGCAAGTTGAAATATCTTGTCATTTATATTACCATAGGTATGCATAAGTCGTAATGCTTACATCAACAGCAAGCCAAACAGGTCCAATTCGGTGGCTTCTTCCCTTGCCCCCATTTATTGGGGCATGGTTTTTGATTAGATCAGGCATACAATTCCATCGGACTAAAATTGAAATTTTAGTGCCATTAATCCATTTTACACGCAAAGTAAACACGAATTGACTTCTTCATTAAATTATCTCTTCCGTCTTCGAGTGACTTATGAACCACCGCTCTAATTAACTTACTTAACATCGCTTCTGTAATGAGCTTTGCAACGTTCTTGAGGCAGTCATTGTCAAAGCATCTACAGAATAGTAAGACTGCTAAAAGTCGAGTAATAGGAGTTGACAGAGAGTGAGATAAGTTGAAAGTTGTCAAATTTTCAGTTTGTTGAGCTCTTGGAGAGGTGATCAATCCTGTTTCACTTAATAGGCTTCAATGCCAGTCTAGTTAAGCCCCGACGTAGCTGACTTTACCCTCTGGTACTTTATTCGATGCACCTTTTCGACAACAAAGTGTAAAAACTTAGTTTGGTTTTAATGCTTAAAACAAAAGAAACACTATAAAATGTGTGCAGTGAATCCACTTGTAGGGTGAATTTCGGCAATTTCAACATTCGCATAGTAAATATCGCAACAGCCCTTACCAACCATTTAAAGACTGCCTCGGATTGCTGGACCAGTGCGTCTTGCTTTTGTGCGTCGCTAAGTCATCAAGAGTAGTAGAAGAAGAATGCAACAGAAGCATCCACCCAGTAGCACTCACCACACAGTTGCTCACACCGAGCGTGCGCACGCAGTGAGACCGGCCGTGGAGGCACTCGGATTCGCCGCTGGGTCAAGTGATGGCACCAGTCCAGTCTCTTCCTCAAGCAACCCTAATTTCTCATCTTCGAATATTATAGCTGTCAGTTAAAATGTGTATCTAAAAACCGTTTGCATTCACACCTCTTCAAAGGTTATGAAACTGGCCATATTAATTTGTAGTAGTAATTTAAAATTTCCTTCTGCCATCTACTTTCACACCTAGTTATTTTTTTGCAAAATCATCTCAATCGCTTCAACGGTTATCCTCACAGATCTTTTACTTGATGAAGCTAGTGCATTATGGTGCTAAAAGAGTACCCAATTTTCCCTTATAAACTCATTCTCGACTATTTTGTGGAGCTAATTGATGCGAAATAGGATCAACTAGTAAAAGTTGGATTTTCTGTCTTGGCAAAAGCAGAAATGCCAGTTTTGGTGCTACTGCTGAACCTCGCGTCATGTTGAAGCTCTAAGACCTGCTAGTAGTCCGTAATGCATATTCTGTCTTAGGGTTAAGTTCCCTTTCCACCAAAGACAAGGCTAAGGACGCTGTATCTTGCTCACGAAAAAGGTATCTGAGTTGCCATGGAAGCACAAGAAAATTGCCAGTCAGCACGGCTAACCATTGCGAGTCGCTCCAAGATGGCATTTGAGGCCAAACATTGGCATATAAGCACATCGCACTCAAGTGCTGTGATTAATACATTCGTCCATCCATATATATTGTTTCCTATAAATCCCATCGGAAGCAGCAATGACGCGCAAAATTTAGAAATAATTTTTCAGATAAGAAAGTAATTTTTTGACCGTAAGTAATAAAAGTAGCAAGGAAGCATTAAACATCTTCTAAAAGTGGTTGATTAAACCAAAAAGTTCGACAGTCTGCTGCACCAAATCAACGCCTCTTACATTAATGTCTTTATACAATGTAAAGCTTCGTTCTTTTGTGGAACATTATGATTGGACCTCTGTAAGTAAAACAACGTCTAAATTTTGGTGCGAAAGATGGCCATGTCAAGTGGTAGTACAAGCAATATTTTCCCAAATCCTGACAGTGTTCTGCCTTCTCGCGTATTCGCAGCATGCGTTTCAATGAAGGTCATGATAGTAACCACAGGGCGCCACCACAATTCCTTGCTGGAGTTTATGGCATAACAGGCTTTCAATGAGTTGATGCAGTCTTGGCTAGTTGCAACACTCGCGCTGCTTCTGTTATATTAGCTCTGCACGGAGAGGAAGGAATCCACTGGAGGCCTTTTAGCATCAACTGCAAAGCAAACAATCAAGCATCACCCCTCTCCGTATCTTCGCATTCCTCCTTAACATTGAAGACTGCAGAAAGGGGAGAGTCGGTGTTGAGTACCTGTTGATGGCCACTTTGCAGGTTTGCACTCCATTCCCCCCGAAGAGGCATAGGCATCACTGCCGTAATGCAAAAAAAGGATAGCAGCTTTTTCGGTAGATAGCGTGATTTCTTAAAGTGCACCGTGCATGTGTGTCTCTTCTCGAAGTAAATGGAAACTACATTATGCCTTGTGAGCATGGGCGGGGCAACTTGTCGCCACTTATTGTCCCTCTCCTCCCTCGCGTCCCCACGCTCTCTCTCTCCCTCTACAGAGACGTCTTCGCACGCCTATCATAGTGCAGGCAATCGTTTATATTCCGCAGCGAAAACCTCCTCCTTATCACGGTGAGATAATTTGTAAGACATCACCATCATGGTTTTGGCTACGTGCTTGCTACTTCGAGTTCATTGGTAACTCTAGAATTGCACCATTGAGTAGGCTCCACATTGTTGGCATTTGCACCTCATCAAGTTGAAACAAAATTCCCATGTTTTGAACTGGAACGCAAAGTACAAGATTTCTGAAACGGATATAAATGCAATTATGATTGCTCACCACATAATGTTGTTCGTCTTGAAATGTATTTTATCAGCACTTGAAAGATTTTCTTTTAATTTAATGTTCTCATATTAATCATAAGATCTCAAATTCGTAGTTGCCGAGTGAGGCTTTGTTTGGAGAGAATGGTAATTTTACATTTTGAGGATAAACTCCTTTTGACCCTTCTTTCGTCTCCAATCCTCCAAGTCCGTTCTCGGCTCTCAGTAACAGTTCTTTATGGCTGAACATACGTAAGGTGCTGTTTACTATTAATTCGTAGTTCCCTTGGGGTGTGGCCATCACCAGCTACTTCTGCAGCTTTCCGTCCACGATACATGACAACTGCACGTGCCCTTGACAAGAAGTCAATAGTAAGGGTCATTCAAACTGTCGCAGTGATACTATTAAAGACGATGACAGCGGTGATTAATTTTACTATGTACCCGAAGGTGTGTTTACTTAAAAGATACGGATGCTGACTTGTGGAAATTCGGTTGACCCGAGGACCCAAATCCTATTTGGACCTGCGGAAAACACAACGTAAGCATTTTAACAGCTCACGAATAGGAGACATTCGATTTGCTGGCCCCGCCTACATAAAAATTTTTTATGAGGCAAAAGCGGTAAATTGGACAAATAATGCATAGCTTACCTCCCTTTGTTTAAATTTGCCGCGTTAGCACGTGTGATTTGCTGGAATTGGTCCTCTTTTGCTCCAAACACTAATGTGATGCTGGAGCACTTAGAAAATGGTAAATCTAATGTTGAATGACTTGCTCTATGATTTTGCCTGCCAACAAACGTGTAGAGAGGATTTTGGTGGGTCATTACCTGCGTAGTGCCCATCCTTCACCTCATTTAGCAAGTGGGCCCAGAGACATCAATATATTTGGAAAAAGGCTGACTTTTCTGCCTGATTGTCGCGTCAGCTGTCATCCCAGTGCGCTGATAACGGTTTTCATTCACACTGTCACTTGCACACACAAGGTTATTTATATCTCTTTCTGGGTTGATATGGTGTGTAACAATGTAAAATAACGTGAAAATGCGTGCCTTCTGGGTGTAATCAAAAGGGATCTTGCATCTCAAAAATGTGGCAACCAGTATCGGACCTAGCGGGACTGTGAAGAATCAATTTCTCCTCCCAAAGTGACGAGTACCAAAGGCAGTCTAGGCAACGCGAGACGTCTACTGTCAGTTTCTTTTATTGACAGGATCTGATTGATGCGTTATGACTCCCATTAATGTGTTCCATTTGTCGGTCAACGCATTGTTTGGTCAGCTTATCCAGGTACTAGAGTGGTTTGAAGCTTGTTGCCTTTCATTTGAAGAAAGAGTCTACTGGTCAGTACGGTGGTCATCGATGGCACTCTAAAGGTATCACTTAACTAGCCTACATTTTGCGAATGTCCCTCCATATTCGTTCGTGCTTTTGAACAAATCTACCTAAACTCTGCCTTTTAAATTCCTAAATGAAAGATGCTGCAGTAATAATTATATCAATTTTATCCACTTTCTCTACAACCACTCAACGTTGGCCATATTTGCTGCTCCTGGAGAGGAGGTTTCTTCGAATTTTGAATTATTCCATGGCATTGACAATTTCGCAAAGAGGGAGTCGAAAATCGGTGCCTAAAAGCAGAGCGTGGAAGCTAAAGACAACTTTACGGCCACTATCCACAACACACATTCATTTTGCCTTCCTAGAAGCGGTGACATTCGAAAATTTACCATAAATTTTGCTTAATGAGATAAAGAAAGCATTTTGCTAAATGATATTAAAGTCAGGATAAGGTGTTTCAGTGCTCGATTACGTGTGCTACTTTGACTTTATAAAGATAGACCAAAACGGTCAACAATTGACCCTTTTCGAACTGCTAATGTGACCCGAGCGCAATTAAGTGTTTGTATAGATGACCTTCACAATTCGTAGAATTAAATTCCATTTAACTCACGTCACACAAAGAAAAATTCAAGACGGTATCGTGAGCCTTTATTCTATTACACTTCTAATCTGACTGACTTCGGTCAATCGTCCTTAAGGATTGCCTCAAAAGTACAAACCATAATGGATACCAATTCACCCTGTTCAACTCTGATGGACTTGAATTTACTTCCATTTAACCACTCTAAGCATTATTCTGTCAATAACTGAAGTGAAGAGATTTTAATCGTAGTTGTGGAAAGCAGTCACATTCGTAATTCATTCTTTAAAGTACACCAATGGGACTTTGTAACTCATTTGCAGCTGTGTTTTACTTTTTTGAAGTTCGTCCTCTATGTGACGACAAACCACGCGAAGTGGTCCCAAATACCGTGAAACACATTTGCACCTGTAGCAAATTTTTCACGTCAGCAGCCTGGTGGTGAAGGCTCCCCACAAAAAACCATTCATGGCAATATTTTACCAACTGGACGTCAGTGTTCACACGGATAGGCTGCAAATTGCACAGAAGGACAGATCATTCTTTCGATACAAAAACACAAACTGCTCACTGGTTAAGAGTGGAAGACTTCAGCGGACTAGCACAAGGAGCCAATATTTTGCAATAGACTCAACAACCAACAGGTTTGACTACCCTCAATGTTCATTGCAATGACCCATTTTAGTGCTCACTCCTCCATTTAATGCTATAGTCCTGCCTGTTTTAGTTTCTCGTCCTTGGTCGGCAATAATTTGCTTATATTGCATTTCTGACTATTTCAGCCCTATTTTCGAGATTATAAGAACTGGAAAATGATAAAGGTGCAGTTGAGGGTCAAGTACTGCCTCCTCCCACCTGTTTGGCAGCAATTCAGCATGTCAGATGAGTAGCAAAAATATTGTGCGAAAACGGACTCTCGGTTTTTGAGATGCCAAAATACTTACAGAAGCGCTTAAAGTTGTTTCACATCACTGGACTCAAGCATCGTTTAAAAGTCGCATTGTTCTCAGTAACGCACATAACATTTTGCCTCGCTCTTTGTTAAGCTGATAGCATTCTTCACAAATTGCCTTTTTCCGCTGTCATAGCTGCTAGGCTGAGGTGTATCCACCACACCGCCAAAGGTATATTAAACCTTCTTGCGATAACCTGGAGACATAATGGTGATTTATTTAAAATGCCTACATGTTGAGCATCTAGCCATACTGTGAGAATTCCGTAAATTAAAACTACCTCGGTCAGCGTCAGAAATGTCACTTTAATTGGTGCTGCTCAGGGTGATCGGTAAACTCATCGCCAGGTCCAAATGCTACGGAAACGAAAAAAACACGACTAGCGTATTTCGTTTTACTAGGACCTTAAGCGCATCTCGACTTCGCTGATCAAAGTGTTAGGGTTGAGATCCGGACGAATTATCAACAGCAAGCACGAAGAAACGATATGATTTTATCGTGTCATCGCTTGTAAAAATTTCAACACCATCGAACGAGACCCAAGTGTAGCTGGTCAGTCTCATTTCATCATGACTTACCCTCGTAAATTTCGAATTAAATCCCAATTTAACTAGTCGTCAAAGCCCTCTTTAGTTAAGTAATGCTCCTGACTCGCAACTCTTTAACCACATTGTAGACTTATATTGTAGGGCTGACTCCACGCCAGTCCCACAACCCTTCTCAAATAGACTTCAAGGTTCAACCATTGTCCGTGTAAACATTTTTCAAGGCCTTTCAAAGCTAAGAAGACCCTTAGAACCGACTGATACAATAAAAGACGGTAGCCACTTTACTTTACCTCGATGAAGACACTGTACAAGTAAGTGTTGGGGTACATAAATATCAGCACTCAACATGAGATAGCATAGTGAGGATGCAGGTCGAATTAACGATGATGCCATTTTGTGGTATAAAGGCGCTTTGGCTAGCAGGACACTTCTTCAGAGGAGGTTGGTGATGCTAAAACTCTTCTTCGATGCACTGGGGGCAGATTCCTGTTCATCCTCTGCTTCTTTCAAGTGTTGGATATGTCCCAACTGTTTCATTGAACTCCACAATCGTTTTCTACCCATTGAGATATTTGAGTTATCCCCAGCCTATGAAAGAGGTGAGGCGAATTAGCTATTACAAGTCATCTCTTCCCACAAAGCGTTGATCAAGCGTAAGCGCGAAACGCAATTCCCATAGCCCAGGATCTTTACCGATATGCAGTCTAAATTGGTCGTAGCCTCTGTTATATTCATAAATCTAGTAGCTATCGAATGCTTTTAGGCACATTGTGGCAAATAAGCATTTGATCTTAATCCAAACACCTAAGACTGAATTGGGTAATTGGCGTCAAAGTAGCCTATTGGTCCAAGTTGAATTTCGCTGAATTCATACATTTCCCCAAACTCACACAATGTCTGCTACACACGTTGATTAATTTGGTGATGAGAGGGCAGGGGTGTGGGTATTAAGAAGCCATGGCAGTAGTGATGGTAGCAGAAGGGAGAAGAGGGGAAGGAGGAAGACTAGAAGTAGTGCGGAGCGGTGGGCAATGCATAATGCACGAAGCGTTGTCAGGCTTGGGTGCCTTCTTGCCTCTTTCCTTGAGTAGGTACGTGAGGATGTTTGTGCGTGCGTATGTGCAAGCTCGTGCAGCCACGTACACCTAATTACACTTGGCGACGGCTGCCTTTTCTCCTCCTTGTGAGGAAGGCAGTCAGGAAGGGGGAGAGATGGCGCGATACCGGCTAATTAGTTGCAGACGCCTCCAACGCCCTCACTCCCGTTACCTTCTCATGACTCCACACACGCGTAGATGGGGGAGGACGAGTAAGAACGCGGGTAGAGGGGAGTGTGGGGGTGCCATGGCACTTCCTGTCGAGCATTAGGCTCAGATTATTATGATTATTACACGCAAGGTGGATATGCATTAATATGAGGTGACTGGTCAAGGCACGAGCAATTATCTCATTGACAGAGGCGTACACAGTCGTGCTGTAGCTGTTGATGTTTACCATCGTCTCGTCAGGCACTCAAAAATGTTTTCACCCTTTTAATTGCTTACACTGAAATACTCCAATATTCGTTAAGTGACTTGAAGTTGTTTAATTAGGAGGATGTATGCAAAAACCTATTAAAATTACGAACTAAACAACTTCCCTTTTGCCTTTGGGCAGCCAAATCCCTTTCGACGGCTGAGAAATGCATTTGGCCGTCACAAACGTTATCCGACCAAGCACACACTTTAGCGCAGCAAGTACGCCTACAAAGCCGATTTCAAAGTGTGAAAGATAACCAGTACAAAGCGCCAACAGCGCTACCATCTACATCCAGGTTTACTTTAAACGTCGGAACAAACAACACAATTGGTGTGCCATCTGGACGCGTGTGATTTGTGATTGACATTTTGCGTGATATTTAAAGTGGTTTGTAATCGTCGAGACTCCTGGAAAAAGGCTTATCAGAGTGTTCAAACATGCAGTAATTAAGCAATTGCATCAATTAGTAGTTTGCGTTTGAATGAGTCGTCAATCGCACCTACGTACGCATATATGCACACGACCGCACATCCGCACGGCTGAGCTTCAACTGGGGGTCACTCTTTGTGCAGTCTCGTCACAGTGGTAGGTAGATTGTCGAAATGATAAACGGCAAAATCGTGCCTGCAAACGGGTGGCCATAAATTACTCTAGTGGAGCGAACATCTCGTTACGGGCATACTTGGCGTGGGTGGTGTTCAACCGTGTTGAATGGTCCATTGTCAAATTAGTATAGATACTCTCCGTTAGGGCACAATTCGTCTTCCTCCACTCCAGCACTTTCTTCCAGTTTTGATGACCTTTAGCAAAAGACATCGCCAACAAATTGCTATGCATGCATCAAATCAAATATAGTCGTTACGTTACCAGTTCGGTGACAAGGGAGACCTCGTACAACTCAAGCGTTTATAAGACTCTTCGTGGTTACTTGACGCATTAATGTGGGAGAGTCCATTACCTAGTATTAATATAGTAATCTCAACTAAAACAAATCTTACTCAGTGTGGCGTCAACTAATCTCCGTAGGCGCCTTTAAGAGAGCCATGACGATAGAAAGGTGATGTTTCTAGGGCATCCACCACCCAAATCCTTTCTTATCAGACAAATACAATCGCAAACCTAGAGCAATCACACACACACACACACACCTTTCTCCAGGAGCAACTGCAACAAGGGCGTCGCCCACTGATGCACTAATGCATAGCAAGGGAGGAGAGGCAGGAAGATGAGGGTGGGATGGATGCATGGAGGCAGGGAGGGAGACAAGGGTTGAGGTAGTTGGGTAAGGCCTCCACTACGCTATTTAATTAGACCAATCAGACTCTGCAGGCGCCTTTGCAAACGTAGTGGAAGGAATATTAGTAGGAGAACTAGCCTCCCAGCTGGAATACCTGCATTCGCAGTCCCGGCGCCAACTACATGGTGTAACTTTTTACTACCTCTTGGTGAAGAAAGTGAGATGCCGGGACAGTGATAAGACGCGCCATCGCCCTCTCCTACAGACACACACCCAGCACAGATCACCCCTCTCACCTTTCATTTTCATGGCGATGCAAAGCACGGCCAAATTCAGGCTAGTGTCAATGGTGTGATGGAGAGGCCAATCCACAACTACTAACCCATTACGTTCCAGAAGCGTCCACAAGTCGATTGGGCCGGTAAATGGCCTAGCGGTCTTTTAATTTGTTATCAAATCATTAAAAGGAAACAAGATTGACAAGTCGGAGTGGATGCTCTAGTTAATCGGCAATAGATGCAGTCAAAAGGCATTCACTGTGTGAAAAAAGAGTGTTTTAAGGCCTACTTACTTCCAGCGGAAAGGTGGCTGGATCGACCGGTGACTCATGGCCGTCCACTGAGGGTGCGTTGGGAGAGGGTCGGTCGGTAAGGTAGGGCAGATGCTGAGGGGGAAGTGAGGGAGCCGATGGCTGGGGCGGCTTGGGAAGAGGACAGTGGTGCACAGTGTGCCGCTGTTGTGAATTCGAACCCAGAGGGAGTGGAGACCCCTCCAGATAATTGAAAGCATCCAACCCTGAAAAAAAGTCGATGCACTTTAATGGCAATGGCTGAATGAATTGGACGTTTAAATTAAATGATAATACTGTTAAGGTGCTGCTTTGACACCATTGATT